TGGACTTTATTTCTTCTTTTTTTCAATTTAGAAGTAGTGAGTTACCTATAAGATTGGTACCAGTAACTCATTATGTTTTCAATAATGAGGATATAATGAAGTTGAATTTCAAAAGTAACATATTAAACAAGAGGATAGAAGGCTGAGTCAACCTTGAGCTGGCTACCTGGGATTGAATCCCAGGTCGTGAGCACAGTTTTGGCTGCAGTACAGCAGTTTAACCACTGCGCCACGAGGCTAGGCAGATACATTGCTGTTGCGCTATGTCACTTTATTTAACAAAATAAAAAAAAGGAAAGTTGTCATAGCCTCCTGAATGATGGTTTCAGGAAAAGGTGGGGATGAGTGGGAAGTGGAGTGTCATTAATTGTAAGGGAGACAAATTGTAGTGATCCAAATATCTGTTTGGATTGTTCTTATGGGAGAAGAAATGTAGATCAATGTGAATGGAAGGATTGCTAAAGTGAAAGATAAAATACAGTACATAAAAACCATTTAAGCACAAACCAGACCACTCCAGCTTCCCTCATCTGTATTAGTTCCTTTGTTGGTGTAATAAGTAATGACAATAACTTACTTTATGAACACTACATTCCTTCTAATAAGTAACTTTGTAAGCATTGCTCCCCACACCCCCAGCCTGGAAATACAGGCTATATGGGGAAACCTTTGGTTCTCTTGATGTTTTAGACCTCAACTCCCAGAAGCAAATGGCAAGGGATCATGGAAATTGTAGTTCAAAATATCTGGAGGGGCAAAGGTTTCGTAACTTGTATAGAGAAATTATTGTGACTGAAGTAGCCTTTGTATTCCTTGATTAGGTGTTTCTGTGTTGCTCTGTGGACAAAGCAGCAAAATGAGCTGTTAACACGAACATTCAGTTCTGCTTGTGACACAGCTTTAGGGGCCTGAAAGAAGCACTCACAATGGTTTTGTTGACATAATGCACTGTTTGCTTTGTGATCCTTAAATGAGGAGATGTGAACAAAACCTAATGCTTGAATGGCTGCACTGTCGGCAACCCAATGGGCCATTTCAATTGCCACCAGAAGCTTGACAAACAAAGAAGGGGAGGGGAGGGACTGGCCTGTGTTTAGGATGCACCAGATTAAAACATCAAGTGTAAGCGTTTTCTCAATCTGTTCTCCCAAACCAGAGTCTGGCTGACTGCTCTGGGAGACATCTCTGTATGTCTCTTATCGTAATAGTGTTTTGTGGTAGAAAATTTCCCTTGAATTTTCGGACAGGATTATCCTAAAAAATTGTCAAGATTGGATGGTTTTGCAATTATGTTACACATGGAAAATATTTCTTTCTCCACCAGCCCTCAGCATGTGTGGCGGCAGCTATACTCTAACCCCTTAACAATATAAAGTACAAAGGAATGCTGGCTGACTTTTTAAAGTCTTTAGCAGATGCAAATTCCCCTGTCCAGTGCTTTTTCTTTGAGCCTGTTGGAAAATAGCACACCTAGGGTTGAATCCTGTTGTACCTCCTCTCTTCAGAGAGGGACAAGGGATCTTTACCACTGTGCTCACTGTGGTTCCTTGTATTTACTGAAAGCCTGCTCCAGGGAACTGAGAGCTTCCCTCACTCACTCCACGGTTCACAAATAAATGGAAATTTCTGGAAAATGTCTTCTTTTGTCTCTTCCGTTAGTAAAAACATGCAGTGGATCAAGAGCCTTCCTCATAATATTGGTTGTGGCTTGGGCAGGATTCTGTCCCATGGGCCTAATCTGCCATGCAGAGATCTGGATCCCCCACTTTGGGGGGATGACAGAGGAGAGAAATTCGGGCTGCTGTCTTCCATTAGTAAATAGAGAGAGGAAGAGTAAACCCGTCTGCTGTCATACAGCATTTGCAAATACCAGTTGGGACCATTCTGCTGGTGGCAGATTGCTATCTGGTGCTTTGACTGGGGACCAAGGGACATCTGTGGACAACTGCAGGAGTGGGATCTAGCAGTCCACTCCTGTGCTAATAGGAAGGGCACATTTGGGTCCAGCTGCTTCCACTGTACCATCCTGAAGATATTTGACTACCACCATACCTTAACACAGTGGTTCTTAACCTTTGTTACTCGGATGTTTTTGAACTGCAACTCCCAGAAACCCCAGCCAGCACAGTTGGTGGTGAAGGCTTCTGGGAGTTGCAGTCCAAAACTCCTGAGTAAGCCAAGGTTAAGAACCAGTGCCTTAACATATCCACTTGTGTCTTCATTTTGGAGGCAAAGCAGGGCCAGCTTGGTGAATGCTTAGATGAGAGACTAGCTGGGAATATTAGGCATCTCCAGGTATGAGGGTACGAAAGATTTTTTCTTAAAACCCTCGTGAGCTTCTGCAAGTCATTGTTGATCCTATTGGACTAGGTATACATGTGGACTGACTCCATATAAACTATCCTCCTATGTTCACTTACTCCCTAGGAGCAAAAGTCCCTCTGCTTGATCAAAAGTCCCTCTGCCTCTCAGAAGGGCATAGTGGGATTCAAAGGTGTCTGAAATGAGCAGAGAAAGGCCTGCCATTATATGAGTAGGCAGAAGGAGAGACTTGTAAAGCACTCTGAAAGCTGAACAGTGTTGTTGAAATTGCACAGTTCGGGAAACTTTTTGAAGAATCTCCCAAACAGCCTGGCCAGCAGCAATGCTAAGTGGAGAATTCTGGGAATTATAGTTAAAAAAAAAAAGAAGAATTGTCTGCATATTTTTAAAAGGCTATGCATGCAAATAATTAAAAAACAGAATGGGTGTGAAGCAGTAGTTGGGCTATGAACCAAGAAAACATCAGTTCATGTTTCACCACTGGTGCTCTTAGTTGTGTTTCTAGGCAAGCCACTCTTTCAGTCTTCCCATCTGTGGTGTTGTAATGAGGATTACAAGCACTTTGAACAGTTCCAAGTGCTGTTGAGATGACGATGATGATGATAAGCAGTATCGAAGACCCAAGGCCAAACAAAACAATTAACAGTTAACAATTCATTGGAAAGAGAGCTCCCTTAAGAGGAAAAGACTGTTTATTCTAACATGAGCTTGCTTCAATCCGCATTTGGCATGTTAACCTGCTCTCTCTTGGAGGGAGGGCAGTTGGTCATTTGGGAAATAGAACAACATTGCTTGCGTGTCTGACCTCTCAGGCACATAGCATTGAAACGTTTATGTGTTTGCAGGGATCACATTGTAAGAAAAGGAAATGCACATTTGCCTTAATATGTGTTCCGACTCTCACATAATTTCTGGACTGTACTTTTAACGTGGCCTTGGCAGACTTCATTCACTGAAATTTTAGAAGTGCTTTCATTTGCCTTTTTAATATTATAACTGATGTTGATATTTTAATATTTATAGCTTATTGTGGTTTTAGTCGTGACGTTTTAAAGCTAAATTGTAAGCTACATCAGGTCCCAATCATGGGGAAAAGGTAGGTAAGTAGACAGACAGACAGGTAGATCATTGCATGCTGTCAAGTCAATTCTGACCCATGGTGAGTGCCCCCTTTATCCACTCCCTTCTTCTGGAACTATCCTGGGACGGTGCAGGTGACCCATGACTACACAGACTGGCTGTTCCACTGGGAGGCAGAGTGGGGAATCAAACTTCCAATCTCTCACCTGCAGTAAGGTGCCTAAACTACTGAACTATCCAGCCAGCAAATAGACAGACAGAGGTATCCTATCTTTTCACTGTGAGCACGTAGGAACCCACAGTCTAGAATCAATTGTGTGCATTTTTTTCGTGGCACAACGACTTAAGAATTCATAGGATGAGGTTGTGGGCCTCTGATCCTAGACATCCAGCTATAGAAGTCAGTCTTACTGAAACAAGTGGGGACAGAGCGAGAGAGAGTTCAATTGAACTTAAGTATTGAACAACCAATATCTTGAATCTTAAAAAATATTCAGAATTATTGAAACCCTGGAGGACTTAGGCCATGAGAATAATTCATTTTAATAATAAGGAGAATCAAGACCACATATTAATAGCAGGTCATGTTAAAGTGGATTTGGAAAATGCTTTTAGAGATTATGTTTCTCATTTTGCTCTTCACTGACCAATTTTTCCCCATAGGTATTAGATAACATGTCTTCAACCTGCCTTATTCTTTTTGGGCCCTGAGGGGGTTTGTGTTACTCAGTTACCTGACTATAAGGTTAGCTTTAATATCCATGCTATGCCTGTGTTCATTCCACAGAGCTATCCATAATAGGCCAGCCTCAAAGTAGATTGTAAAGCTGTAAGAATTATCTGACTTTTCCCCACCCCCGACAGTATATGCCCTCATCACATAGACTTGCTTTTATTTCATTTCTCAAAAGAATGGTTTATTGAAAAAGTGACACTGTATTTTCCAGTCTGCTGTCTCGGAGAGGCATAAAATCCAAGCGAGATCCATGAAATTTAAAACCAAGGCTATAATCTGAAAACTGGGGATGAAGGGGGGGATAGGAACCAAAGAAAAGACTAGTGCTTTTCTTTTTATTTTATAGAAGTTTCAGTACATGTTGAGAACACACTGGAAAAATGCTGAGGATTCCTGCTCCCTGCTCCCCTCTATAAAAAGAATTTTGTCAGTTATGGTCTTGAAGGAATACTCATTACAACCCCTTAAAAAGAGATGATGATGATGATAATGGTGTTAATGATAATGATGATGATGATTATATATACTGTATATATACTGTAGATTTCAAACCTTAAGAGAGAAAGAGGCTTACAACTCACCTTCCACCTTTAGTATGGAGAACAATAGAGCAAAGACATGCTTTCTGTAATGATCCAATTTCCATGCAGGATTGCATATTTTTATACAGTTTATGCAAACTGCCCCTTTTGTGGTTATTTTATTTAAAATCAATAGCATATACTATTCCTTTCTAAATGAAGCAGAACTGCATTGAGTGCAGCTTTCCAACAACAGACTGAAAAGTAGAGTTTCATTTCCCCTATAGGCACAATCAATCAGATTCTATTTTTACAACATTTTGCATTTTTTAAATTTGCAGACCATGGGAAGAGCAATTTGCGTGGAGCCTCATTAGATGATGCAGAATGTCTATGGCCTAAGGAACTCATTGCATCTGGAAACAGCCAGACTTCCCATTCAAAGGCAGGCCGCAACATACCTCGGAGACACACTGTAGGAGGCCCTCGGAGTTCCAAAGAAATTCTGGCAATGCAGACATCAGATATGGACAAGAAGAGAGAAGCTTTCTTGGAGCATCTAAAGCAAAAGTATCCCCATCATGCTACTGCAATAATGGGCCACCAGGAAAGATTGAGAGATCAGGTATGGAACACAAATGGAAGGAATTGTTGAATATTTGTGTGGGCTTTAAAAATAGACATCTATAAAAAAAAATTTGAGATACTTGGTGCCGACATCAATGTATGTGAGTGTCATGGAAAAAGGATACACCAATTGGGAAATTACTGATGATTCCACCCAGACATAGTCAGTGCCATCTAGTGACCAAACTATGTGATGGCATTGTCCATGCCATATTTAATTGCAAGGATAGATACTTTGTTATCCCTAAGGGAAGGTCTACTTGGATAGTGGTTAGCTATTAATGGAGCTGTTGCAGTGAACTTAATATGGAAGTCTTTGTGGTTTCAGAAGGTCAGTATGGAGCGTATGACTAGCAGAACTGTGTGATCCAGCCTTTGGTAGGCTGTGCATTTCTAGCTACACTCAAGAAAGAATATATATAGAACATTTTAGTATATGAGGGGTGTGTGTGTGTGTGTACATACACATACACATATATACACACACACACAAATAAATATTATTCAATTGTTTGTGTGATTGTCTTAATCTGGTATGTGTGTTAAAGGTTATACAGTATGTTAATTATTTGTTCAATTTTATGTGTCGATTATTCATTAGATTTCTTCAATGTAAACTCATTGATTGTGTGACTCTTTGAGCCTTTAGCTATTCATGAGCAATTCCTTAAAGGATGGAAGAAAAATACACTAATTTCTGCAGAGCTGAGAATTGTTGGCTTTCAGGGTCTTTTAAGAATTGCTGTTTCTAGCTCAGTGCAAATATTAATTAGCAATATTTCACTGAATCCATCTTCTCTGGTCTCCTTTCAGATTTGAGACTTTCTCTGCTTAAGTGATATGTATCTCTTCTTGGTTTATTAAACATGGTTTTTGAAGCTTAATGATGGTTGGCATAATATCTGAAGTGAAAAATAGGAAATTGTGGTTTCCAAGTAATACATTGGAAGAATTATAATAATTTGCAAATGTTATGCTTGCAAGTAATACATTACAAGTCATGATGTATTTCTAACACATTGGTTCTTGAGGGTAATAATGACACTATTTTGCAATGGTAATATCATTACTTTTTAAATAAGTGTAAATAGTATTATACATTGGACAGAATCCTGTTGCATATCTTTGCACTTGTTTAAACCAAATTAGATTCTGGAAGCATTTAGTTAAATCAAATTAAAACCTCCCTTTCCTCACATATTAGTTTACATGGCTCCCTAGGGCTGACTTTTGTCCTTGCAAAACCATTGGGATACTAGGGATGGGAGCCATTAATAGGAAAAAAAATCACTGCCAGGTCACTACCATTGGAGTCTGGACTACCGCTCACAACCCCACACTAATTTTTCAAGTTTCAACTAAGCTCAATATTATAATAACCAAACTTCCCTCCCTTGATCAGTATGCTGCAGCAGTGAGGGTCAAATTTTATCACTATGCAATAGTGCTCATCAATGTATATTTATCACCACAGAGACGGAACACTCAGATCGAACAGATTTACCAAGACCTTGATTCCTATATTCAAAACCTTTTGCTAACTAACGATGACCAAATGATAATTGGAGGTGATTTTAATGCCAGATTGGGTACAAATGACTTGGCTCTTTATGCTGCTTATAATTTATGCCCCCCTGATGGATTACACTTCCCCATAGTCACTAGGCGCCTCTTTAAAGATACCATCAGTAATTATGCAGGCCTTAATTTGGCACAGCTAGTTTATCAGCTTGACCTACATATATTAAATGGAAGTATTTCAGGTGACATACCAGGGGAATTCTCTTTCTGGTTGGGAACAAGGATGAGTACCATAGATTATGATTGTTAGCTGTAACATACTGAATACTCTCATCAATCTGGTGATCGACAGCAGGATTGATAGTGATCACCTGCCATTAAAATTGTACCTGAAGTTACAAGAACACCACACTCATATTGAGAAGGCCTTGCCTATGAATCCTGAGATGATACTGACCAACTCCAGGATCAAATGGTCAGGAAAGGGCTGAATTTATTTTACTAATCTGTTTAATAACAATCAGTTCTCTGAGATCCATTCCACCTTTCTCAAAGTGGGCCAAAGTAGCAACATAATTGCGCTGTATGAAACACTAATAAATAAATTAGTAGACTTAGCTGATTCAAATAACTCAACAAAAACCCATACTAGCAAGTGCAGGTCCTATAACTGGTTTGATAAGGAGTGTGTTGATGCAAAAAAACCCCACTAATTTCAAAATTTAAACAAAATAAAAACAAAAACCCATCATCAATGGAAGTGGAGGAACTGCTGCAACTTAAGAAAGGCTGTAAGAAATTAATTAAAGAGAGAAAAAGGAGAACTCAACAGATAGAATAGGAAAAAACTTATCAAGTAAAAAGCATTCCCCTCTACTGTTGCAATGCTCCCAAAGACTTCCCCAGGGCAAGCAGGGACTCTGAGGAGCTTCAGAACCTAAAATTGGGGCAGGGGGAAGCTTTTAATTCATTTCAATTAAATATTTCTTGTATGCAGTCTGGGTTAGGCTGGTGTGAAGTTATGCCAGCAGGACTTTGCACATTGGCTGAAATCCTGTTGCTCAACTGTAGGTCTTGCAACAAGAATGATATTATCAGGTGCAGCTGTGCCTCAGCCATTTCAGAGCAGTAAAAAAGTTCCTAGCTGCCGCCACCACCACCGAGATTTTGGGAAACCCTTTGAATCTCCTTCATCCTGGGGCAGCCTTTTGGAGACTTGGAACAGGAGAAGGGACAGTTCAAAGGCAGAAAATTGCTGCTACCAGGACTGGTGGCAGCACTTTTCCAGGTTTAAATCATTCTTCCTCCGTTTTCATGGCTCCCTCAGGATCTCCAAGAGCTGAGGGAAGCTCTACGAAGGTTTTTGTTGCCCCAGTAGGACGCAGCATGGCTGCAGCAGATATGATCCCTGTTGCATGTTGTAAAGTTTGCAACAGGATTTTAGCCATAATTTCTTAAATTCCTGGGGTCAAGGTTGTCATGTAGGACAATGACAATGATGATGGTGGTGGTGATGATGATGATGATTATAACTTAAAAGTGACAGATTAATGGTGGTGGTGGTGGTGATGGTGATGATGATAATATATAAAAGTGACAGATTAACTACTAACCAAATACCCAAGTTCAAACATACGAAATTCACTACTCTTTACCAGATAGGAAAAATCTCTTTCTAGGGATTACAACTGACAGAATGCCTCATTGAGCTACTGGATAGCTCAGTGAACTGCTGGATAACTCAGTGCGTTAAGGCAGCGGTCCCCAACCTTGGGCCTCCAGATGTTCTTGGACTTCAACTCCCAGAAATCCTGGCCAGCAGAGGTGGTGGTGAAGGCTTCTGGGAGCTGTAGTCCAAGAACATCTGGAGGCCCAGGGTTGAGGACCACTGGGTTAAGGCATCTGGCTGGGGAGCCAGAGGTTGGGAGTTCAATTCTCCACTGGGCCGCTTTGACAGGACTCAATGATGCATAGGTTCCTTTCTGGCTCTTCAGTTCTAAAATAATGAGTAACACATTCTGATGATCGCCTCACAAGTTAGAAGCATAACCATGAGTTTGCCACCCAGGGTGTTGTGTAACACCTGAGTTGTCAGCCCAGAGTTCTGGGCGTTGCTCCATCTCCAGATGCAACAACACTTAGTGAAAGAAGCTGAATCAGACATATATTTATAACCCATGGATTGTCCGTTGAGCTGTGGGTTTTGTTTCTTACTCTTTTGGAATGATGCAAGTCATTACGGATTCATTAATTGCCAATTAATTTCTCAGCTAAGCTGTAATCATAGAGGTGAATGGAATTGCTTGTCCCAGCTTGAGTAACTGGATTAAATCAACGGGATATTCAAAAGTGTTGAATGACCATATTCCCACTGTTTAGTTGAACCTACTCTAGTTGGGACTTATAGTTATATTTAACTGATGGGTTTTGAATAGGACTTTCCTATTCCATGATAATGATCAATATGTTTTAGCCAGTTTTAAGCCTGAAGTCTGGTCATTTGCACTAGGTGTGTTTTGCATTTTAAAAAATCATGCTCTGAGTACAAATCAAAGTGCTTCAGGATAATGAGATCTAGTACTATGTCTATTTATTGTGGAAAGATCAGCTTTCCATTTTCCCCTGTTAACACTCCAGAGATGGAAGAAATATCCTCCAAAAGGAATCTTAAGTCTCATCTCATTTCATTTTGCTTTTGAGGTTTTGCCCAAATTTGAGAAGATATTTGGGGGGATGTCTGAAGGCAAAACAAAATGGGAGGAGCAAATGGACCAGGAGCTGGGAGAAAATAGCTGACATTTATCTACTTGAAAGGGAGTTAGCGAGTTCCATGTCCTTTTAGGTTTGTTTTCACAAAAATAGACCTTTATTCTGACTTTTAATGGCAGAGCTAGTTTTAGAAGAGAATGGAAAAGAAGGTCACTTCTTGTAAAATGAACAACATTGGAGAGCTGAGAAAGTATGGTGCCCCACCCCACCCCCATATTGTCAACCCTGTCCTCCTGTTTTAATAGCCATTGATATGGTCACAGAGAACTGGTTCTTGAGGGAAGGGACATACCTACAGCAGGGAAGGTCCTCCTCCTTTTGAACCTGTTGATAAGGTCAGCCTGGCACAATGGTGTAATGAGGTGTGATGTATATGAGTTATGACTTTTTCTGAGGGCAGATTCATACATCACAATTATAGCACGAATCAGTTTCAGGAAACATTGGTGTTGCACTAGCATTCCTTACAGGAAACATAAGGTGTAAAATGTCACACACAAGACAGGTTAAAACACCAGTCCAGTTATACCTAGGAAAACTCACTATGCTAGATTTCTCAAACATATTGTCCTGGTGTTTACCTATATTTTGGGTGTGATGCCCATATGTTGTATGTGTGCTGTGGGAAATGTTGTTAACACTGTTATTTCCCACCATAGTTATACCATATGGGGTTGCTGTCAGAATTTTGATTTCATGACAATTCTT